CTCTCGGGACCTTTCTCCTTCCAGTTCTCCTCCGCAATGTCTTCCTGTGGAGTCTCCTGTAGTTTCAGACACCCTTCCTTCTGAATCTCACCTGATCTATGTTTCTCTGCTAGTTTATTTTTTTCTCTTTCTTCTAAAATTTGTCTTTTTTGCAGAGACACTCTGACTGGCGGCTTTTCTCGTCCACCATCTTGGCTCCTCCAGATTTTTCTTTTTAACCTTTATCAGTTACAGGGACAGAACTTTCCTAATTCACACCTGAAAAATATTTTCTTACTCACAAGAGTAACCTTAAGTCATAGTTTCTCACTTCCTAGGGATTCAAGAGATATTTCCTCCCTTTAAAGTTAAAGAATGATTTCTTTACCTTAGTTGTATTTCCACTGAATCCTAGCTGTCCCCCTAATTGGACTTGGCCACCACCGTAGTACAGCAGGGTGGAGCACCTCACCTTCTGTCTCTTCAACATATTGACTTCCATTGCTCTCTGTCTCTAGTTTCCATTTTGCAGTCAAGTTTGAGAAACAACTTTAGCACCTTCAAAGAATCATACTCGATTTTTTTTTTGCCCCTGACTTTTAATCAAGAGATAATATATACAATGTGTACATAAAGCTTCTGAATATCTTTGTAAACTGTACTGAGGTCATTCTCTATTATTTTGTACAATATCCCTTACTTATAAATTTTCATGTGGTATTTGTAGTTTGATGCTAAGAAAAATTTATATAAAATGATATAGTGTTTGATTTTCTTTATTAAGCAATGAGAGCTTTGCCCTTCTATATTTTGGGAGGAAGGAGACTGCTACTCACCTCTTCTCATCCCAGGTTCCCTTTTGATCCCATATCTCTCTTCAGAGAAGCCGAGAGTCACTAATTTGATTGATCCAGTGTTTTAGTTTTCTGTCACTGCAAAACAAATAACCTTAAGCATAATGACTTTAAACAACACTCATTTGTTAGCTAGCAGTTCTATAGATCAGAGGCCCAGGTAGACTCAGTTGAGTTCTTTGCTTGGGATCTCCTAAAGCCAGAATCAAAGTGTCATCTTTGATGTCCTATCTGGAGGGCAGCTCTGGAGAAAAACTTGCTTTTGAGATCTTTTATGCTATTGGCAGAAGTACATTTCTTTGCATTTGCAAGATTAAGGTTCCTGTTTCCTTGGTGGCTGTCAGCCAGGGTGGGATTGGGAGGAGGCGGGTAGAGGGATGTACTTTTATCTTCCAGAGGCCGCCTGCATTTCTTTGTATTTGGCTATTCCATCTTCAAAGCCAGCAACAGTAGGTCAAATCCTTCTCATCCATTGAATCTCTGTGACTTCTGCTCCTGCTACCAGCCAGAGAAAATTCTGCTTTAAGGGCTCATGTGTTTAGGTGAGACCCACTCGGATAATCTCCATATTTTAAGGTAATCACAGAAACAACACCAGGAGACAAAGGTCATGGGAATCATCTTAGAATTCTGCCTACCACAACCAGAGCCAGGGTTACCATTGGTCTGAATTTCACTATCAGGTTGCTTTACAGACAGAAACCCAGTTTCCTTGCTCCATTTTGCTTTGTTGTTTGCTACAACTGAGGGCAAATCCTGTCTCCTGGAGGTGGAACAGCCATCCCAGCAGTTCAGTTTGAATCAATGGCTGGCTATCCATCCCGGTTGCTAATGATGCTGTCCTTGGTAGCCCTGTCCTGGGAGGACTAAGGGCCAACTCAGCTGGTGTAGCAGTAGCTCTTGGTTTTCCATTCCATGGACAGACCCACACCCCAGGATCCCCAGGAGAAGAGGAATGACAGAAGGAGTAGAGGCCCAACACCCTGCTGCAAATTCCTAATAATTGCCTTTCCTTATTTGTCTTGGCTACCAGGAAGGTTAAAACTAAATTGTGTCTTTATTTTTACTTGCAGTGAAAACACTTAGCTTGTCCTGGTACAACCGTCCTGCCCTCATCACAAGGTCCTTGTTCTTTTATCCTTTTTAATAGTCCTGTTCAATATGTATCTTACACTGAAGGCACATTCACATAGTTCTTTTAAAGTCAAGAGATATAGATAAAGAAATAATGGATAAATTAAGGGGTACCTGAGGAAAATCAACTTAGTTGTCTTCAGTAATCAGAAAGCTGGGCTCACTTTATTTTATTTTTTTTAATTTAACTTAGATCTGTATGACTCAGCTCTTTGCAGAGTGAAATGAAGGTTACATAAATATAGTCTTTAACAGAGAATATCAAGTTATTAATTTTAAATATGTTCAAGTAAATCCATAATTTTTAAGAGTCAAAGGGCATAGCTGTTGATTACAGCACCTTAAGCATTTTAACGGTGCTAGCATCAAATGCAAATCTTGACTCTTCTCAATAATTTTGCTGCTGCTATTTAAATAAATACTAAAATCCTTGAATTTGAATTTGATTCTGTGTTTGAATCATCAGCACGTGTAGATGGAGCCTACTTCCCGGTGGTGTCAGTTCTCATTGGTAAGCCAGCCAGCACTTGGATCTTAGTATATTAAAAACAAGTGCCTCCTTCTCCCACCGGGTACAGTTGAGGCTAAGTCAACGCTTCCTTCCAGTGCCCTCCTTCTATGGAATTTCAAAAGGCTGAGTTTGTTTGTTTGTTTTGATGTACAATCCTAGCCCAGTTTTTTAAGTATGCCCCTTGGGATTTGATGTTTGCATCTTTTTTTCCCCACAAAAAACGATTATCAGGTCTTTTTATTCATGTAAAAAATATTGTTCTTAGTCTGTACACACAGTCCTTGGTTTAAAATAGATCTTGAAGCAACCCGGGGGGTTGTTCT